GTGAGAGGTCCCCAAGTCACTAGGAGGTGATAGGGTCTCAGTGTGAGTTCTCTCTGCTTTGAATGCATTGTGTTCATTTTGCTTTACATGATTTAATGTTTAGTGTTGGGTGGGTGTAACTCCTGGCTCACAGAATTCCTGAAAATTTAAGTTGGCTGTTGCAAATGCCAGGGCTGGTTCAGGCACAGCCCTGGGCGGGAGCCACTTGCCTGGTTGTGCCTGTCTGGAGGCTCCTGGGGGCCTGTCTCCAGCCCTGCAATCCCTCTCTCTGGCCTGGCTCTCCCTCGCCTCTTGTCCCTGCAGCCTGGGGGTGGAACAGTGGACCTGGCTCCCCGGCTTGCTGTCCTCAGCATGCCTCAGTGTCTCTCATTATCTCCTTGTTGGGTACCCCAAAGGTGGCATCCTGGGCATGGGAGACCACAGAGCAGATGCCCACCCACACATGAAGCCCAGCCTGCCTCCATTTCTGTTACTTATCACCCTTCTGCGTAAGATGTCATTGGAAGAAATGTTTCTGAGACCAGAAGCCAGAAACCCACGGGGCCTGGCAAGCTCCCCAGGACATAACGGTACTCAGTAAAAGTCGCTGTGACCCTCGGGCATCGCGGGCGGGCCTGGCAGGTGGAACACCCTCTTGGGAAGTGCTCTGGCTGCATCCATCACGATGATGGTGCACATGGCCTTGGACCCAGCAATGCCTTGGGAAGTGCCTGTCTTAGAGCAGACGCACACCTGTGCAAGATGATGTCCGCCTCAAGTTACTCATTGCGGCATTGTTTTGGGAAGCGGAAAATGGGCCACAACCCAAGTGTCAGTCATGGAGAGACTGAATAGGCTCTGGCCCAGTCTTGCTGTGGGATGCTTTGCAGCCATTCTTCCTGACATGACGTGACGGCTGCCCCATGCCTGTGAGTGCAAACAGAACTCAGGAGGTGGGCAGCTTTTCCTCACGTGGTGGCTGCCGTCCCGGTGGGGGCCCGAGGGGCTGGGCACTGCCCCTGCGAATCCCTTTGTGCTTTCTGAATGTCGCCCCACTTTCACGGTTACTGAATGTACACAAGGTGAGCATGAATGAATAAACGTCATGGGATTTAACAGGCGCCTCCTCCTCCTCATTCCCAGCTCGGCTCCCTCGTCACCCTGGACCCAGGAACTCAAGACAGGGGCCACCCCCACCCCCACTAGCTGACTGGGATAGAAACAGCCAGTCGAGGGCCCCAGGTCCCCCAGCTGGGCTCCATGGGGACGGGAGCCTAGGGGCTCCATGGAGGACCCTGGGGTGGGGACTCTCTCTGTCCGAGGGGTTCACATCTGCGGGCTCAGCCCGTCCTCTCTCTGCTCTGCTCGGTGGGCCGAGCAATGGGCATGCCCCCTTGGAAAGAGGGGACTGAGCACAGAGGGTGGGGGGCCCGGCTGCCTTGTGCACCCAGCGCCCAGCTCAGGGCACACCGGCCATGTCGGTGGACCAGCTGGCTGGCTGCCGGAGAGGCCGCTGCCCTTGCTGAGACGGCCGTCCCAGGCAGGGCTAAGGAAGCTGCTGTAAGGGGCTTTGCCTTGCCCTCTGCGGGACGGGGTTTCCACCTGACATCTTCCACCCTGCCTTTCTCCCTACGGCTGGTGACCTGGTGCCTATAGTGTGGGGGGATGGCTTTAGACGGCATGTCTACGACTCCCTGATTACATCCGCTTCCTCCCTGGGGCTGCAGAAGCAGGGCACGTTGGGAGCCCTGGGTCAGAGGTTGGCCTAAACAACCGCTGTCACCCTCTAAAGGCCTGGAGACAGGCATTCAGTGAGGCTGAGTGATGTTTGGGGCTCAGAGGACACTAGGAAACCAGGGGACAGTAGTACCTCCACCTCTTAGTTTGGGTCCCCCATGATGTTGATTCAAAGGTGGGAGCTGTGGCCCAGAAACAGGAAGTCTACAAAATTGCCCAGGTGCTTTCCAGGTTTAGCCAGGGTTGAGGACCCCTGCCCCTCAGCCAGGATCCACAGTAGGGCCAGAGGATGGTCCTTCCGTACTGCAGTCCAGGTCATGCTAAGGGGTCGCTTCCCAGCTGTGTCATGTGGGGCAAGTGGTTTAACTGCTCTGCCCTCAGTTTCCCTATGGGTAAAATGGAGATAAACATAGCACCACTGCACAGGATTGGAGCAGCACAAAGCATGGAGAACTGTGCCTGGCACATGGTAAGCTCTGCAGAAATGCCAGCTGCTGTTATTATTATTAACAACCGAGGGGCCCAAGAGACAGAGCTGAGCCTCGAAAACCAGGCCAGCTGGCTTGGGTCCTGGGTCTTCTCCATTCTGACCGCCCCCCCCCCACCTCTCCCAGCACACACTCCTGACTTGGAAGTCTGCAGCTGGCAGAGGCCCAGGGCTTCTGGCTCCTAGTTGGCAGCTCTAATACCCTGGAAGGAGGATCTGCCTGGCCTGCCCAGCACTCCTGCAGCCTCTGGTGCCCTGGCAGGCCTGTCGCCTCCTGCTCTGAGTGGGAAGGAGCTAGCAACTGGGGCGAGAAGCAATGGCTACAGGGCCATAGGCAGCCTTGCTGGGGCTCTGAGGGCAGTGGGGTAGTGTCCCAGGCGCTCAGAGACTCAGTATCCCTCTGCACAATCCTCCTGGCTGTGGCGGGGACTGGGGAGGGCTGCGCCTGGGGAGGGTGCCTGACTGGTCTCCTAGCTTGGGGCAAGCAGCAACTGGCAGAGGGAATGTGCAGCCAAGTGGACTTTGGCTGGGGAGCGGGCGCAGCTGGGAGGCAGGGACTGCCTGGCGCCTCTGCTCCCTGTGGGGCCTGGGACTGCTCCCTGCACCAGGAAGCCCACTCCTGCCGGGGTGCCAAAGCCTGCGCCCCGCCTGCCAGGCTCCCCTTCCCTAGAACTGTTTCTCCTTCCTTCCTGCTGCTCGGAGTCAACGTTGAGTACCCAGTTCATTTATACCCCAAGCCGTCAGCAAGTCTCACCAACTCTACCTACAAATGCATCTGGGGTCTGACCTCTTTGCACCACCCCTGCTTCCTCCATCCTGGATGCTGCAAAGCCTCCTAACCGAACGAGAGCCCTGCAGCCATCTTGCTCTGGCCACAGCCAGCCCCTGACACAGCGGATGATCATACCACCCAAAGCCAGGTGGGTTCCCTCGCCCCTGGCATCTTGCCTCTCACCTGGGGCATTAACTAGCTCTTTCTGTCCTGCCATCAGCTGTCCTCTTCTCCCACCTCTCAGGCTTCCCGGCTGTGTGCCGCTTCCAGCACGTGCCCACCACAGGCCTTTGCATTTGCTGTTCCCTGGACCTAAAATGCTTTTCCCTTGGACATCCACATGATTTGTTCCCTCATTTCATTCAGGTCTCTGCTCAAATGTCTTCTCAGTGAGGCCAGGGCATCCTGTATAAAATAGAAACTGCTACCCTCCCTGCCCAGCTGTGCCTCTCTACAGAGCCCTCACCCCCACTCATGTACTACACACTTACTTCTTCATGTGTTTGCATTCCCGTGCTAGGATGCGAGAGTTCTCTGCTCTGTTCCCTGGTGGACCTCAAGCCTAGCACAGGGCCGAGCATACAGTGAGTACTCAATAAATATCACTGCATGAATTAAGCCTATGAGTGTTCCTTAAGCCAGAGACTACTAGACCATGCTCTTCTGGGCTCCTTCCTCTGGGACTGACCTTCCTGGCCCTGGAGACACGTCAGAGGGGCCAGCTCCTCTAGGGCACCTTCAAAGCCCCGGCTCCTTGGGAGTGGCACTTAGCTTTCCCTCTGACACAGGCCAAGGAGAACAGTTGAACAGAAGCCAGCAGGCTGGAGCTGGGTTGCCTCTGGAATCGGGGCAGGCCGCACGTCATTCGTTCAGCCAGATCCAGCGGGATTCCTGCTGAAGCTCCCACATCAGAGGGGGGGGACGGCGAGTGAGCAGAAGGCAAGGGCCAAAGGACTCAGTGCTTGTCGGTGGGCACGGGGGAGCCTCCATCCCTGCCTGTGAGAAGGAGTGAAGTCTGGGAAGTGACAGCCGAGGAAGCTGGGTGGGAGGCAGGCTGCCTCCCGGGGAGGGGACAGTGAGGGCAGCGACTGGGGAGCCAGGGGCTACGGCTGAGGCAGGCGGGGGCAGGGCTCGGGGGCAGGGCAGGCCCGACCCACACCCTTGTGAAGGCCGCTGCAGTGGCCAGCGAGAGGCCCTGCTGGTGGCAGGGTGGCCAAGGACAGTGGGCTGAAAAGGAAGCGTGGGCCTGTGGTCTCTCCACGGGACTCTCCGTCTCAGCCTCATGTCTGGCCGTCCACCAGCTTGTGCTGGTTTGTTACGGCAGCCCCAGCACACTCATGCCAGAGGGCATGAAGCCTACTTGTAAGATGATTTTGCTGAGGATGATCCTTCTGCCAAGATTTAGGTTTGGCTTTAAGCACAGCTCCCACCCAGCTGCGCATCTTGCTTCCAGTTGGGCCTGGGGACATCGAGGCAGCCAAGGCAGGTCCCCCGCCCTGAGCCAGGCACCCTGGTACCCCTGGAAGGGCACCCCGGTCTTCAGGGCTGCCCAGGGCGGGGTCTCCTGAGGCTTGGCTCTGCCTGAGCTCACCTGGCCATGGCTGTGGCCTCAAAGGCCCGGGAGCTTGGCTGTCAATCTTGGAGGCCGTTTAGTTCTCAGAAGCGGACAGCACGAGAGCGGCGCCCTCCCACTCCTGGGCACGGGCCCCAGCGTGAACCGGAGCAGATGGAGGTGCGCTGCTCCCAGGAGGCGCGCAAGCCAGGCAGGAAGCGGGGCACTAGCCCCGGACCCCTCCCTGCGCCCGCAGAGCCCAGCGCTTCACAGGCATCCTGTCCCAGAGTCGCAGCTTCCCCACCTGGGAGCTGCAGTTACAGGCATTTTACAGACAAGGAGACGGAGGCAGCAAGACCTTCCCAAGGTCCCCCCCACCACCACCCCAGTAAGCGGCAGCTCTAGAGTCAGAAACCCGAGGAGCTCCATCTTGGCCGAGCAGCTAGAAGGCACTTAAGAGGCTCCTGACCAACTCAGGGGCTCAGGGAGGACAAGAGCTGGAGCAACCGGCAGGGACAAGGGACACCTGCCAGCCCAGTGCCTGTTCCCCAGGGTGGACCTGGGACGACACGACGGGCGCAACGCCTACCCGGAGCCTCTGACTCAGGGCCGGGTGGGAGCTGGGCCTCCACAGGTCGAAGCTCCAGGTGGTTCTCGTGGGCAGCCCGGGCTGCGGAGAAGGACCCCCAGAGACCCGGGCTCAGATCCCAGAACCTGCCCTTCCTCGCAGGACAGGGGAGGCCGTGAACGGGATCAGCTGGACAGGGAAGCGTGAGGGGCGGCCAGGGGGGAACCCGGAGACCTGGAAGAAGCCAGTCTGTCCGGGTTGAGGCATCGGTGAAGAGGCAGGACAGGGGTCTGCGGTGTCCTTGCCAGATCGGGGGTCCCTCCACAGGACTCGAGGCCCACACAGGCCCCTGGGGACCCTGGTCCACTATGCCAGCCCCTGGGCCGACCCTAGAGACGCCAAGTTGGAAAACCTAAGGCCTACCTGGGTCATGGTGGCACAGAGCCAGTGTGGGAGCTGCACAGCCAGGAGGCCAGAGGCCCGAAAGAGACCTGACCCTGGCTGCCCTCTCCCTGGCCCAGCAGAGCCGGCGGCGGGGCAGCTGGCGAGGCCCCTGCCATGAGGGTGTGTGGGGGGGAGCTGCTGGCGCCCCTTGGAGAGCCCCTGCACCCAGCCGGGGGCGCCTGACCACTGGAGCGGATGCTCGTTTGAGCACGTCCCCCACGAGGGGCTGTCCTGGGCCTCCCCTTGGGGGCACTCCCTCCATCTGCCCAGCAGCTGGGTCGGGGGACCAGAGTCAACCCATTTTACTGCTGGGAGCTTGAGGCTTAGCGGTCACAGGACAGTTCATCCAGGCCCCATGGTTCCTGTTTCATCCAGAGGTTCCATGTTTCAGGGCCAGAGGGCTGGGCTGCTACCTCTCTGGAGCCTCTGTCTCCTCTCTGTCCAGGCCAGGCCCCCACGCAGGCCCCACAGCTTCCCTGAGAAGGCCCTGCCCCTCCCCACCAAGGCCCCCTCCTTACCTGACGACAAGCAGGCTGGGTGCTGTGCGGCTAGCAGGTGTAGCAGGTGACCTGTGCCGGTGGGGAAGGCAGCACAGGCACAGTGGAGCAGACCCTCCCCCGGGGGAACCCCTGCCCCCAATCTGGATGTGGCAACAGGAGAGCTTGGGGCCAGGTTGGCCCGTTTGTCTGTCGCATCACAGAGTCCTGCCGAGGTCAGCAGGGGGTAGGCCTTGGAGAGGCTCTGCCCCAGGGGCCCGGCCTGGCTCCCTCCCTCTGCAGCAGCCCCACCACAGCTTCTGACGCAGGCAGGTGAGGAGGCTCCTTGAAAATGGATGTGTGTGGAGAGGAGTCCAGGCAAGGAGGCGGGTGAGTGTCCTGCAGTTGGGGGCAGGCACCACCCCCTGCTCGCAGAGCAGTCGGGGCCAGGTCCGGGCCTCTGCGAGACTCGGCCTCTGTCTCTGTAGTGGGGGCCAGGCCCAGGAAGCCGGGCCGTGGGCCGACTGGGTGCGCAGGTGTGCTCCATTGACTGGAGCTCTCCGGGAGGGGCTGCAGAAGGAGGAGGGAGGCCCCCACTCCATTCTGAAAGGGGAAGCTGGGAGCTCCATCAGCACCCCATAGGCAGCCGCCCAACCGCAGGAGTGGGAGTGGGGGAGGGGGAGCCCGCTACCCAGACTGGCCCCCAAATCATCTTGTCCAGCACCCTCCAAACTTCTCTCCTGCAGCCACAGAGGCTTTTAATAAACAAAAGAAATATCACTTGGAATGCCAATATGAAAAATTTCAAATTAAAAAATGAGTTTACTGGCTTACATCTGTTTTATAAATTAAAATGGATGCATTATTTACTTACTTGCTCAACTCAGTAGTAGCCACACAGCTCTTAAGTGATGACACCAGGATTAGGACCCAGACCTGGGTTCAAATAAAATCTCTAGCCTCTACATCATGAGCGGTCTTCTGCAATGACAAAAAACTGAAGACAAAGCCGTGAGAAGCTGTGGCGTCCGTGTGTGTGAAGGTCACTGGGATGATGAAGGTGGCTGAGTCCCGTAGCGCCAGGTTCCCCAGCCGGGCCATCCGTCCGGGCGGGTCACAGAGTGCAGGCATATCGACTCATCAGCTGCGTCGCGGGAAGCAATACTCTGTCCTGAAAGAACCCCCTGGGTTTCCGCTCTCGGGAAGGAGGGACAGACTGATGAACGTGTCGCCCCTCACAGTCTCTCCCACAGCCCGAGACCTCCGTCCCGCTGAAGTGTAGTGTCTCACGGCCGCAGCACAATCCACCCACCTGCATGGTGTTCGGGCCCCATGGTCTTTTGATTCAAGGGTGTGAAGCAAGAGGTGTGACACCTGGGCTCAGCTGGTGTCGGTGCAGGAGTGGAGGTTTAGTGCTGAGGGACCAAGGCACCACACTGACTTCTCTCATGCGTGTGCCACACGCAAAGGCCTCCGGAGTGCGGGCCTGTGGCAGGGCCCCTCCTGCCCGGGTCTAAGGCCAGTACTGATGGTTACCGGTGCTTGTATACGTGACCCTCTCCTTCAGAAGACAGTTAGTGATCAGCTCCTTCGCTGGAGGGTCATGGCAGAAGGATCCTCAGGTCTTGGGTAAAAATCTTAACTTTCGGCAACAGGCTGTTTTGAGAATCACAGAAGTTGGTAACAAGGGCTGGGGATGTCCAGGGCTTGTCTGGCCTGCTTGCGTGGGTGCACAGGACTGAGAGCGGGTGGGGCCCCCAGGTGAGAAGCCGCCAGCTGTCATCGGTTCAGGTGGTTCTCTTGGTGTGAACCTCACCTCCGTGGGCTCTGGGAGAAGCCGGCGTGTCCTGCGGGCCTAACGATGCTGAGATCACCTGGCGCCACAAGCTGACAGTTGTTGGCTCCAGTGAGCTAGTATTTGATATATCACACTTACAAATAGGCTGTTTGCTGCAGGTAAAAATAGTTACAAATAAACAACTTTTAAAGGAAAGCTTAATAAGTATTTGCAGAGCTCCAGCAGGTCAGAGAGCCCGGACAGCCCCCAGCGTCACTGTGCCAAGTGGTCGCCGGGTCGCGCCGGGGAGCTGCCTGCCTCCTGGCCACCAAGAGCAGCTCCTGTGGCCAGGACGCCGGGTCCCTGGCTCCGTTTGCACGTGGCGTCCTTCTGGTCCTGTACCTGGCGCTGGGCTCTCAAGAACACATCTGAAGAACCTGCTGTAGATCAGCTCCAGGGAGAAGGGCACTCGTGTGCTGAGATGTAAGCCTTCCGAGTGCTCCCCCAAGGCATGATGTGCCCCCATCTGGCGGCTCGTGTACCTTGCAGTCATCTCAGCAGGCCCTTCTCTAGCTCTTGTTCTTTCAAAAGTCTTTTGAGGACCTTCTGAGAATGCCTGTGTTTGCAGAGTGTCTTCGTGTGTCTGAAACACTCCCCAACATTTACTCATCTTTCTTTATGAGTGAAGACAACCATATCTATTATTTGATAATACTGTTTTGTTTTTATTATATTGTTTTACTCTTAAGGTAATTGACAAGAAACACTCAATTTTTATTTATGGCAATGACATAAAAACTGGCAATGGCAACAAATGAACTGAAGCCTGGGACTGTGGCTCCTAAATTTAGCAGGATTTGTGATCTGGGACCCATGCCCGAACCAGAGCTGTGTCCTCAGGCAGCCTGAGTGGAGACTCACCCAAGGGACCGAGAAGGGCCTTTGGGACAAACGACCCCACTCCTCCTCCACGGTAGGTGACCTCCAGCTCTGACTCGGGGAGCCCCCAAGAGGCTGTAGGGGAAACTCTTGTGCTAGCCGGGAGAGCAGCAGGCTTGGGCAGCCCCAGCTCGCGGCAGCGGCCCTGAGCCTTGTTACTTGGTCCCTGTGAGTCACTAAGGAGCCTGCCGCGTGGCATCTGGGTACAGGTTAAACGCCTGGGTTGCTCCCTTACCTGTTCAGAACTTAGGTTTAACGTCCAAATTCAGGAAGATGCAACACCGCCATCTAGTGGCAGACGGGATGGGCTCTGCCCGTGGCGCAGAACCAGCTGTTGAGGCTCCCAGCCATTTATAGCATCAGAATGGGATGCTGACCCGTGACAGTTGCCCAGGGCAGAACGGAGATTTGCAGCTCTTTGTCTCTCCAGCCATGGCACTGCCATCACCAAGGAGCCACCCCATCTCTTAAGGGCTCGCTGTGCGGCCAATACTGTGCTGGGCTCTGGACTGACTCCTCGTGTCAAACCCTCTCTCATACCCCAGGAGGGGCCCGACGTCAGCATTCTCAGGGCAGGAAGCAGACGTGTAGGGAGGCGGCGCAGACCTCCACATACAGCCAGGCTGGCAGCCGCGCAGAAGCCAAGGGGTTTGGGGACACTGTCCAGTTCAGTAGAAGTGGAAGGGGGCCATGGAGAAGTGTGTCTTTCTAACTTCCTTTTTTGTGTTTAAAGGGAACATCCCCCGATAGGGTCACAGCAGAGCTGTGAAAGCGGTACTCTGAGCCAGTCCCTGGGTCTCGCGTCTCAGCGCCCTCACTGTCCCATGGGAACAATGGGAACAGTCCAATGGGTCGGAGGCTGCAGAGGGGGGCTTCCTGAGTTAAAGGGAGTCAAGGCCCAGATCACACCCACGGGGAATGGCACTCAGTCCAGGGCAGCTGGGGCAACGGTGCCTGGGCCAGACCTGGGTTTGGAGGAAGTGGGGTCCTGGGGGCTGGGAGGGAGCTGTGCCCTGTGCCTGCACAGTACCTCCTGGGGCGGGACTCTGAGAGAGCCTGGGCCACAGGCCAGGCCTGGCAGGCAAGGCCCTGCCTGTAAGGGGCTGTGAGGCTTTGGGTGAGGCGCTGCCAGAGTGAGGGGCATGCTCAGGGCCAGAGGGCCCTGGGTGGGGGGCAGCTGGGACTCCTGTGGGACCTAGAGCTGTGCCGCGTGGATGGAAAAGCCAAGCGGGGTGCCCTCAGGGAGCTTCTGTCTCAGGGGAGACACACATGCACAGACGTACAACTGCCTCCCTGAAAAGGCTGCCAGGAGGGGCAGGTCCCTGAAGACGGGAGGACAAATAATGGGGAGCCCATCAGGGAGTCAGGGAACCTCCTTAGGAACAACGGATGGAATCTGGAGGATGAGGTCTTCCTCCCACATGTTTTCAAGTAAGGGGATGAGATTCCAGAACCTATATCCAGGTGACCTCGATGGGTCCCTATCAGTCCAGATGTGTGAACATCTGTAATAAGGACTGTAACTGGTGCACTTTAGATGCTTCATGCACATTGTCTCCTGAACTTCTCAGCAGCCCCCAAGGTAGGTGCTGCTGTTCCCACTTAAAGATGGGGAGACTGAGGCAAAGCAAGGGGAGGTGGTGTGCTCCAGGCCACCAGGCTGAGAAGTGGCGGGGCTGGGATTTGAACAGTGTGTTGGCCACTGGCCAGAGCCCAGTCTGGTGGCCTTAACCACTATGCCCTACACTGCCTTCCAGAACAAAGCGGGGCCATGCCCAAGTCAGCATGGCAGCCCCACATCCATCAGCGCCCCCGAATCAGAACCAACCTGAATTCCAGCAGAGCCCAGGACTGAACCCTTGTGGATGGGATGGACAGATGGGGGCTCTGTCTGAATCAGTCCCCAAAGCGAGAGATGAGGAGAGTGGAATGTGGATGGCAGAGCTGCCCGAGAAGGGCTTGGGCGCTGAGGAGAACAGGCTCTGTGGCTGGGGGCGCCGGGCGCAGCGTCACCTTGAACCTGGCACACGGGAGAAACTAAAGACAATGATTTATGAAGCTCCTGTGAGCCCGCCACACTGTGGACGCTTGTTGTGGTCAGAGTGTTGCCCAGGGGTCCTGAGGGCAGGTGTGACGGAAACCAGGTCTGGGAGACAGTGCCACTGTGTCCCTCTTGAGATGATGTCACCTGGATGTAAATTTGCAATGACAGGATCCAATGGGTGACCTTTTGCTGCCTCCAAACCTGGCCGCTGTCGTAGTCGTTTTGTGAAGGACGACATATACACACCTAGGTAGTGTGATCACCCCCCAGAGGACATGGGGTGCCCAGCTGTTGGAGCTGGGGGCAGAGGTAAGAGGTTAAGTGACCAATGTCACATGCACGAGGTGGCTGGATTTTGGCTCAATGCGGTGTAGCGGGCTCCTTCCCTTCAGTGAGCAGGACTGAGGCATGGAGAAGGGACAGCCAACCATCTGTATCCACCGATCAGCTATCGACTGGCTGCTGTAACAAAACGCCACAGATGGGTGGCTTATAAACAGAAATTTATTGCTCACAGGTATGGAGGCTGGAAAGCCGTGATCAGGGTGCCAGCATGGTGCGTGAGGGCCCTCTTCCAGGCACAGATGTTTAGATCTTCACATGGTGGCAGGGGTGGAGCTCTGTGGGGTCCCTTTGAGGAGGGCTCCACCTCATGACCTCCTCACCTCCCCAAGGCCCCAGTTCCTGAGACCATCACCTTTGGGGGTTAGGCTTTCACATATGAATTTTTGGGGTACACAAACATCAGGCGAATTGCACATCCATACCCACCCACCCACCCACCCACCATCTGTCCAGGCGGCCTGCCCGTCTTCACGGAGCACCTGCTCAGCGGAAGGCACAATAGAAAGTAGGAAGGCTCGATCAGAAGGGGAGATTACTGGTGATTATGGAGCTGGGTGGTGAGGACACAGGCTCATTGTACTGTTCTGCCCACGTCTGTGTATCTGATTTGAACATCTCCATAGCAAGCGGTTACACACAGAGGTAAGGTGTGACTGTGGGGAGCAGGGGCTGCGGTCCCAGCGCACGCCTGCCGTGCGGAGGCAGCTTAGGTGCTGACTTCTCCTACACTCCTCGTGGGAGGCGACCTCGGGCCTGCAGGTCGCGCCAGAGCTCAAGGGCCTTCAGAATTAGCTCAGAGCAATGCAGGCCAACACGAGTCTGCCTCCGCCAGGATTCGGAACAAGCAAAATTTCTAGTGGTGACCGTCATGCTGCTAGTTATCAGGCAACGTCACAAGCAGATGGCAGACGGGAACTGGTGGGTGGTGGGTGGCGGCGGGGAGATCTGGAAGAGGAAAAGCATGGAGGGCAAGGGGTCTGTCTGTGCAGCTGAGGACACAGGGAGCCCCGGGAACTCAGACACACACACATCCTCCTGCCCCGTGAGTGGCCACTGCCTCCTGCTGCTTCTCGGTCCTCACGCCATGCACCCCGGCCCTCTGCAGAGCACCCAAGTGTGCCCACAGGCTGGCTGGGACACTTCAGAGCAGATTCCAGCTTATGAGGTCTCAGACCGCAAAGATGACCCCCGCGCAATCCTAACCATGTGTTTTATGCTGCACAGAACAAACTTGTTCTTTACTATTAACACTATGAACTTAAATCCCTGAGTTTTTAAAGTCTGTAATCCAGTTTAAGCTCCAAGTAACACCTTTTGTGTTGAGTGATTTAATTTAGTAAACTTTGTACAAAGTCATGAACCTTGTCATACATGTGTGACCTTCAAAATTTAACTAGTAAACTCTACCAGTGCTCTGTCCCTTGCAGTACGTGGAGGGAAGTGGCGGAAGCAATCACGCTGAATCACGCTCTAGGCTCGAAGAACAGTGTTCTCCACCTGGGCCATCACCCGGGTCCCTGGAGGCTGAGGGAGCCTCCCTGGGATGATGGCCGACAGAGGTTCCAGAGCTTTCTGAAGACGGAGGTGCTGCGGCACCAACCAACCCCAGCAGGGAGCCCGGCGAAGACAATGACAGACATACCCCGTCCCTGCCCACCTGTGACCACCTCTGTCCAGCGTCCGAGGCTGCACCTGCTCTCGCGTGGTGCTGGTCAGGGACTCCCAGGGTGACCTGCTGGGCCAGGAGAACAGTTTAACTTGGCCTTGCTGAGAAAGCCCCTTGTGATATGTAATCTCCGACCCATCCAGACAAGGATCCTTTTCTGATTCGGGGACATCTGCTGTAGGGCAGGTTCAAAGTCTGCTGTTCTTCTGAAACTGGGCCACCAGGCTGAGGACCTGCTCAGAGGCCTTGATGCTCTTGGAGCTGCGGTAGCTGGTGCTGTTGGCGGCCGTCTCCTCCAGGTAGTAGCGGTAGTTGACCATCAGGCCACACGAGCTGGTGATGCCCTTGAGGCTCACGTCGGCCATCCAGTTGATGCGCCACATCACTGCCCCATTCTGCAGGTGGAAGTTTGCCACGGGGTTCAGGGCATAGCCCCGGTGCTTCTCTCCGTATAAGTACCAGGCACAGAGCCTCATCAAGGGGGCCTGTAGCACTCTGACCAGCTCCTCAGACTTCACCCATTCGTTGCTGCTGAGAAAGGCCTTGAGGGTCTCATTAATGGGACCATCTATGATCTCAGAGATTTCTTTACATTCAGAATCTGTAAATAGTTCATTCCTCCCATGATCCTTTGCTTGTGAGTTCAGGAGCCCCAGAAGCCACTTGGTAAATCCAGGTATAGGAGACAGACTTGAAAACGCCCCGACGTGAGGAAACTCTTTCTGTAAGGCAGGGGTGGGTCAGGAAAGGAAGGTGGAGAAAACACATACACGATTCAGCAGGCATGTCACTGACACAGAAACACCTCTCCACCTCTCACATATGTATCATCAGCCTCAGAATGATGCTTATGGTTTACAAAATGATGTCTGATGTGTTTTCTTCTCTCAAGGAATACTTAGAAGAACCTGATGTGTGCCAGGTCTGAAAGGTGCCCTGAGTCCACAGGGCAAGGATGCCCCCATCTGCACCATTGATCACAGTGGCCAGCCGGGCACCTGGCCTGCAATCAGGGTGGTGGGCTGCTGGGAAGTGGGCCTTGGGGTGCAGTCTTCTGACTATAGATCTGGTCTCTTGAGCACACCAGGCTATTCCCACGGGATTCTCTGCAGCCACAGGACACAGTTTGGTGCTTGGCAAACAAGGTTCAATGACTGTTCAATGAAAAATCATCTGCCCAGCTCTATACAGCGGGTGCAGAGATGGGACAGGAGGAGAGGCAACAGGGATTCTCCTCCAGCAGATGATACAGTTCAGTTGCTACTGTTCGTATTAGAGCGATCTCAATGATCGTTTAAAAAAATCCAGTATTTTCTGATTAAAAATGTAATATATGCTTAATATTGAAAACTTTTTAAAATTTATGATGGAAGCAGAGAAAATTATCATACTCCACCTCTCTGAGAAAACTGCTCCCAGGTTCAGTAAGTGTGACTCCTTCTGGTCTTTTCCTGGCAATATCCAGAAGGCTGAGACATGTACTTTATAACCTGCTTCATGAACTTTTATTGTAATTCTCATTCTCCTTCAAAATTCAGAAACAGAATCTCACCAACAGAATATTACAAGAGACCCGACCGCGACTTTCTTGACCACAGCCTCCTCGACGGGCATGTAAGGTGGCTCCCAGGTCTGCCTTTGCAAACCCTGATGAACGTGGGGCGCGCGGGTGAGCCCCCAGGGCCGGATGCCGCTCGCCCACTGATGTCTTTCTCCCCCTCCTGCCGCCCTCCCTGCCCCCCTGCACTGACACGCTCAGCAAAGAAGAAAGAAACGAGCAGGAATTTTCAGTTGGATGTGGCTTCTGATCACCACTGGGGAAAAAGTAGCAGTGTGATTCTAACGAAGCTGATACCCAAAGGAACCCCGAGTTCTCACATTAAAATTCATTCTGAATTTAATAAGAAGTACGTAAATAATTCCAGCTTGGCATTCTCTGAGGAGGAGCTTCTGCTACAGCTGTCTGTATCGAGACCAACCACCCAAAGCTGAGAACACCATTCTCAGAGCCAAGTATTATCAGTCTAATTATTTCACCTAATAATTAGATTCCATACATTATAGTTTGCTGAAGCCCCATGAGGTAGTTTTTAAAAGCGGAGACCCAGGGTGAACCTGAACATTTCTGCTGTGGGATGGGTAAAGTGTTCTTCCCAGGGCAACAAAGAGAAGGAAGATATATTAAAAAAAAGGCCAGCAACATCCCTCCCAACTGCCTGGTCCAGCCTTGACTCGCCCTCAGAGACTGTGAGAAAGCCCCAGGGGGGAGGGGTGCGTCAGGGCCCAGCAGCCCTGGGGGAGGGCTAGGCAGGTGCCTGGCTAGGATGATCACAACGTGTACTGTCCAAATGGGACACTGGAGGGAGGGGCAACACGTGCATGTCGGGGGTGGCAGGGAGGCTGGCGTCCTCAGGGCACAAGCCAGAGGAGCTGGTTTCCGGGCACCTCTTCCCAGCACTGCTTCCCTCCCTGGGCAGCATTGGGCTCTGAGGAAGCGCTTTGGGCGTGGGCGCTGTTCTACACCCGCCTCCCTCCAGCTCATTCCTCACCCGTGGAGATGGGCAGGCCTCAGCTCCAACCACAAGGCTCGGAAGGCCTGGGTCTCCCTCACCCTGGCAGGGTGAGAGCCACTTACCTGCAGCTCCTTGACGACCCGCTTTATGAGGAAGGTCCCCAGCTCCACGCCCTGCAGGCCTTCCTGGGTCAGGCTGAGGGAGTAAAAGATGGCGGCGGAGATCCGGTTCTTCTCCTCGGTTTCCGACGGGGGGCACTCCTTCACGATGGCCTGGAGGACATCAGAGGCGGGGAGTGGGCCTGGGTGTGTCCTGCCTCCGGGCGGCCCTTCCACATAAGCCCAGAGGCCTGCCCTCTGTTCACGGGCCGTAAGGGCTGCAGGCCGTCTGTCCTGAGCTGAAGTCTCTCTGGAGGCGGCTGCTAAGTACCAGCCTCCTGGCTGCTTGCTCAGTGTTGTATCATTTCCATCACTGGAAGTTCTTGTGCAAAAACTGCTGAACAGCAAATTTAGGTCCCCTTTTGTCTTTTTCAGGCATGTGTGCAGTCTGAAACTTCATTACCTACTGCCCACACGCCTGGGGACAGCACGCTGAGCCCCAGCCCAGACCGCCCGGCCCAGGTTCTGGGCTCTTCCATAAAGGCTGCCCGTCCTGCGCGTGGTGCTTTCCTCCCTCATCTCTGAGCTCTGGCATTGGATTTCTCAATGGCCATATGCAGTCCTAGACTACTTGCCTTTTAGGAAGTCTACTTTGTCATGCCGTATCTATGCACCTCTGTGACTTTGTGCCAGTCTCCCTGCTTTCCCTCAGCCAAACACACCCGTCCACAAGGCCACACACAAGGCAATGTAAGAAATGACAAGTACTGGGAAGTCCCTGGCTATTTCTCATTTTACTGCTCCAAGTGCCCACCTCGGGCTTTGGAGCCTTCAGTCTCTGGAGGCCTCCTGGAATGGTGGAGTGGCAGGTGGCTGCCCCACAGCCTGCTTTCAGCAGGAGTGCCACTCTGCCCTCACCAGCTGCCCCTACTTCTCACGTAAGAGGGCTGGGCCCAGTGCATCACGGGGTCTGGGAGTCCACAGACTTTCTGAGAGCGTGTAGGGAACATGTCCTCTGCTTTCATCCCTTCAGACGTGCAAAGGGTTTTTTCTGTGACTCCCAGGAAGTTAAGAACTGCTGCCGCAGGACATTGTGTAGATGGTGAGCAGAGTGACCTCTCCTGGGGCTAGTGCCAGGCCCTCACCCCGAGGTGGAGGGAAGAACACTGTGGTTCAAAGAGCAGAGCTCATCTCCCATCTCCTGGTTCCAACCTTGTTTATTATCTCCTTTGTTTTGCAAGAAGCCTATAGATGAGCCTGTGGTTCTTTATTAAAATATTTCCAGCAAATTTTTCTTTAAATGTTCTCAAAAAACAAATCTCTGGTTATACAAATGAGATATGCATAATGTTAAAAAGGAAAAAATAAATGCACAAAGTAGGAATCACAAATCACTCCAAAACCTAACACCAAGTCCTGATGTTAACCTTTACGTGAACACCCTTCCAGGCCTGCCTACTGGCTAGGGGTATGTACACACTTACACATAAATACACGCACAGCTGTGCACACGTATATTCCTGTCCAGCCCAGATGCTCAGTTCTCCATATACAGAAGCACCTGCTCTAGGGCTAGGATGTGGGCTGGGTGAGAACAATACTACTAATACACCAAACTCACAGGGCGCTGTGAGTAGTGACACAGGGAATGTGCTCTGTGGGCTGGCAGGCACACAGCAAATGCTCACTCAATATTATTGATTATACATGCTGTTATGTGACCTGAGTTTTTACTCAATAGTAAGTTAAGGTTGGCTTTCCATGCCACAAATATAAAACTAAATCAACATTTAAAGACACTCATAAAAATCGAATTGTCCGTGTGCATGTACCAGATGTATACGCCTGCATCTGTACAGATGGACAGTTATCATTTCCAGCCTTTCTAAACTAGACATCGCTGCCATGAGTAACCTTCAGAGCTCAGGTCTGAGTATCTCCCCAGGAATAAATCCCTCAGGGTGGAATTTTCAGGTCAAAAGGAACACCCATCTGTATGTTAACAGACATGGCCACAGTGCCTCAGAGGGGGGTGATGACTCCCCGTGCGTGAGGGTGCCAGCTCCTTCTCACACACAGGGCCTAAGGGCGTTCCTGGCGATCGGGAGCATCTGCCCGTTTGCTTCCTCTGATAGTAGGAGACATCCCAGCGTGCTCATCCTGTGAGCGGTTCTCTCTTCAGCTTCCTGAGAGGCTATTCTGGGCCCAAAGCCCTTGCCCACTGTGCCTCGTGGCCTAGGCAACCCTACCGTGGCCCGGGGGCCCTGGCTTCCCTCACCTGCCTTTGCCTTCATGGGGATCCCGAGCGCCCGAGGGAACGTTTCCCACTCTCCCGTCACTCCGCTGCAGGCAGGCCCCTCAGACAGGTGCCGCCGCCTCGCTCTCCGGGCGCAGCTCCGTGCCCACATGGGGCCCGCAGCAGAGTCGGCTTTCCATTTCTCAGCCACATCTTCTAAGGCAACTGACAGGCACTCGACAAAGGCTGGGAAGCAGAACCACATACGCTTTCATCCGTCCGTACCTCATGACTCTTTCTGCCTGGCAAAAATGTCTACGATAGACTTCAAGCAGGGCTCAGTGTGAGTGGGTCCGCCCGGGACGCTCTCCTCCTCCCACAACTGCTAGTACTACGCCTGCCTTCTGGGGCTATAAATTAGGAGATTTTATCTAGCCAATTCAAAGTTCCATAAAAGCCTAAAGCAATTTATTTTCAAAAACAGGATAAAACCAATTTAAAAAGCCCTAAGAGACCCCAGGGTACCTGCCTTGTCCTAGCCGCCCGCCGTGGGTACCTGGATGTTGCTGGAGATCTCGCTGGTCAGGGCCACGTGCAGAACGACCAGGGGCTCCTCGGGGGTCGAACAGTGAGAAAAGAAGTAACACCTTCTATATGGCCCGACGCGCCGTTTGATGTCCATCCAGTTCTTTACAGGATGCACAGCTTCAGACCTGTTGTGAAAATCATAGAGGTAAGACAAATGTATGATTTATAAGTTAAATGACCGGGGCTGTTCCTATCATTTAAATACAGCTTCAAAGGACTCCACAGGAAGATTCAAAGAAAACCATTTTAATGCGAAACAGCACTCACAGAGAGGAGCCACAATTAATGACCATTTTACACACAAAATTGTGCACTCAATTAATCTTAATACCTGGATACCTGGTCTGAAGACTAGTTTGTGAGGCTCTCGGGAAGCAGTCAGCAGATTTTAACACAGTAACGCAGCCAGATGCTTAGTGGTTGAGCATCCCACGCCTTTCACTTCCTTTGAATCCACGGTTTGGAGTCAGCGCTGCACACACGCATCCCCCGGTCCCGTCTGTCTAACAGCCTCATCCACCCAGTACTGCCGATGTGTGAGATGGCAGCAGGCGCTGTTGGCCCCTCGGATTTGTTACACTTCAAACAGTACAAACCCTGGACTCCCTAAGACAAGGTGGGATGTAAAGCTCTGAGGCAGAACGTGCTGCTCCTGTCTGTGAGGACAACAGTGACATGCTAGCCCGTGTCTGGGTCGGGTTGGGATTATGCACGATACAGTTAACTCAGTCATCTGAATCCAAAGGGGAACTTCTAGCTAGGTGAGAAAGATGCCGTTTGAATTATTAACGCAAACACGTACAGCTCTGATAACGGGATCTTGGGAAAAGTGGGCCCATGTGCTTCAAATATGAGGATATAAATGAGGCCCCACGTGTAGATTCACTGGCACAATGACCAGTTCTGTCTGCGCTCTTTCTTCCCTGTGATTTCACAGAGCCACACAATTTGTGAATATCATGTTTGGGTTCATCAGGCTTGGGAAAAAATGTACACGTGAATGGAGACTGGCTTTCAGCTAAAACACTGGAGAAGCGAAAACCTTAATACTTACTCACTGATTTTCTGAAGCACTTCACATGGAGAGTGCCAGGTGACCCGCTCTAGGTTGAGGAACCCTGAAGAAAACCACTCCGAGAGCATGCCTTTTAGCACCCCGTTCATTTCCTGGAAAGGAGAAGTGTGTTGGCCTTCCAAGGAAAAGAGCCCGAGCCCTCCTCCGCGTGGCTGCCAGCACCGCGAATTAAACACTGAAACATGGGAACGAAAGAAGCCTCCACAAGGTGATTCTCCAGGTGCTCTTTCAGAGGAAGCTCTGCTGAACTCTGAACTGGCTACACGGAATCTAGCTCTCTACTTAGACTTTACTACTTTAATCCGTAAGGTGCCTGGATGGGAGCCTGCAATTTGAATTAAGTTGCCCCAAATCATGTTACAGTTCATTCACCAAGTGAACACAACTGACAACATAAAGTTCCTATAGCATGAAGGGTCCATCATAAAGGAAATGCTAACGGAGGCAACACAGAGCTGAAGTCCTCATCCTCTCAGATTTGCTAAAACACCATTTCTTGTTTCCCAAGAGAAATAAGGACTGGGTCCAGGTACCATATTTCATCAACTCTAAGATGCACACTTTGGTATTTTAACATCTCTGAAGTCAGGATGCATCCTTCAAAAGATGGAGGGTCGCAGTTTAATTGGGAGCCTTTATTTCTTCCTTAGTGGGACATAAAATAATAGTGTATCTGTTAATCAATGCTTTATATTTGATTATTCTGATTTCACATCACTTATCTATATCTAATCTACTTTCAGAAATATTTGAATGACTTTACCAAAAAAGATGCATTTGCACCAAAACCTTTCAAGCAAGGACAGAACAAGAGGTGCACAAGGAAAGAAGATGACCCAGGAACTCCACCACCTCGGGTCAGCCAGCCGGGCCCCCAGTGGACGTGTTACCGCAGTACACTTCCCGACAGAGAAGATGCCCAGGGCAGCAGACATATATGGCTTGTTGTTCCTCAATAGCTGTTTCCCTTTCTTTCAAATGAACAGAAGCTTCATTTCTTACCTTGGCACATGGCTGCCCAGAATAAAGACGGCATGGCAGCTAGGGGAGTTCATGTGACTGAATTCTGGCTATCGGATGTAAGCAGAGGTACCCTGGAGTAGCTTTTGGGAACCTTACAGATGGCAGGAGCCGGCCCTTTGCCCACTTTTCTTTTGTCTTTCCCAGTGCAGACTGGAAGGTGATGTGATGGTTACAGTTGGAGCAGCCATCTTGGGCCATAACTCAGGTAACTGAGGATGGAAGTTACTTGCATGGGAAAGCAACAACTTTTGGACTGCATACTAACAGATACACTGAATATTCTTACTGGATAACGGTAAGTATCTTGGTAATCTGGTGCAGCGCTGACCTTATGAATCTGCATGTAAGAATCACGAAGACCCTGATGGATTGCACCTGAAAAGACCAGTTTTACAAAGGCTGTAAAACCATTAATAGGAGCGTTTCACATTTTATTCCCTGGTAAAAAGCTAAAGGACTCAGAATTTTGTCATGTGAGAATAAGCTGCAGTTATGGGGTAGGTGGCTCAGAATGGAGATCCATCTTTAAATATTTAAGGCCTGGGGCACAGAAGAAGCCCTAAGTTTAAGTTTGTTCTGTGTAACCCCAAGCGGGGTGAGGAGAGGGGAGAAAGTCTAAGACCAACTGGGGGAGATCACAGACAATCAGACACAGAATATAAACAGGAAGCAGAACTTCTGAAAGGCCATCCACAGATGTCATCCTGGCAGAGAGTGAACCTCAGCACACGGGGTGACTGCGCACGGGGCTGCTGAGAACTCAGTGGAGCTGTTTTAAAATGAATTTAAGGATCAGATAGGCAGCTGACCTTTGCAATTCCTTTGACCTCCCATAACTAGTGTCTTTCCCTGGTTCTAAGCTCTGAAAGGGCAAGGCCGCTTCTGATTCACTCCATGAGTTCCCCAGGCACTCAGCATGGTCTCCCATGTGGAGGGTGTTTAACAGATGGGTATCAAATGAAAATCACAAGAAAAACTGGACACTGGTGATGAGGAAGGGCCAGGAAGAGGGGATCGCACGTCATTGGTGGGCCACCAGAGTGGCTCCGCATAAATCTGTGTCCCTGCGCTTGACAGCACTGCTTCTGAATCCTCCTGGGGGCCGGACACACTCGAGTACATGCTAAATATCAGGGGCCCTTTCTGCAGGAAAACGCACACACATTAACAAGATTTTGCATGTAATATTCTAGGGTTCGTGAAGCCCTTTGAAACTCATCTATGGACCATCCCCATGGGTTCAAGGAGCCCAGGTTAGGAACCTCCACACTGAATGGTTAGGTATGAATTAGCCGGGTGCCATGTGAGATATACTGGCACCTCTACTACATTCATGATAGGAAAAAGCCGGATATATCTAGTTTCAGAATCAGTTCCTCTTAATTCTGAAGGGCATGGTTTGACTGCTGAAGATCCCCCCCGAGTCCCTTCATTCTATTCTGGGCTCCTGACAGCTGTGGAATGTGATGCTGGTACACGAGCCGGGAATCTAGGGTAAAGGTGACCGTCTCCACTCACACCACAGCCGTGGCGCGCAGCAAGGTTCCTGGCCCACAGACAGCGGCAGGGCAAGGACGAGGTTCTGCTCTCTGCTGGTTAATTCTGCAATCCTTTATCAACAATCCCAGACGCAAAGCCCCAACTGCTGGGAATACTGTGGTGGTGCCGAAGCAGTGCTGGGCTTCTGCTCTTCCGTCCTGGAATCCAGTTACCTCGGAATACTACGTTTAGAAGGCTGGCCAGCTTCCCCCTGCAGCAGAGAAAAAGCTGCCTCCCACCTCTCTTCTGAAACTTCTGGCCATCAAGATCTCCCCGTTTTTGTTTGTGGAGAAAAGTGACTTTTTGTTGCTCAGAAGCCCTGAGCTGGGGACGGGAGCTGAAAGCGATCGGAGAAGGTCACAGGGCCAAAGCTAAGACACTGCAGGAACAATTCTAGTTGACATAAGCTGCTACCCCCAGGTGACTGGGGCACACTGTCCTATCTACAAATACGTTCTTTTTTCATCTAGCTAAGTGCAGAACTCAGTAGGGCCAGCAAGGGCTCCTGTAGTAACTTAAAAGTAGGACAAGCCACCAAAAGAGGCTGTACAGCAACGTGTCTAGCACAGTGGGGCACTGCAGCGCTGGGATGCTGACAGTGGTGATAGGGATCACGTCCCTTCTCTGCTGTCCCACCCATGCTGCTGTTAACGCCTGTATACCTCTCATTCCACCATGATTTCTATGTTCAAATTGCCCATCAAGCAACCCTTCCATTTCCTAAATGCCAGCATCCCTCTGGGGCCGGACAATGCTCAGACCTCCTATAACGGGATTCACCTCAGTTTTACTGGGGATTTTATCTGTAAGAAACATACCTCTTCAGCCCAAATGGACCTTTGAAAATTTCCCTGGGAAGAAAACAAAAAGCCCATGGACCCCACAGATCCCCATGCCACCGCCACCCCCACCCCCACCCCCAGCCCTGTAAGCAGAGCTGGACACACCTACAGATTCACAGGGCATTTGGTTGGGGAGCTGTCAGCACGGGGCATTCTTTCTCTTGCTGAAGATGCTGGTCCTCTCGAGGGAATCCAGCTGGTAATGTGAGTCATCCTTACCTACACCCCACCCAGGGCACCACCTGTTGCATTTTAGAGCAAGGACGGAAGACAGGTCCACAGAGAGCAACTGGGGGGCGACTGCTGGCCTCTGTGAGCCCAAAGCTCTCACACCCCGCCTCATGGAAGAACACGCAGAAGTGGACTTTGTCCCACAGAAAGGCCACATACCCAGGAATGATAAGCCTCTAAACTCACTTGGAACTCTGACAGAGGAAAACAGCAATTTTTTCCAAAAATATTTTATCTTGTAACCGAATGGACTGTGTCTCTTCTTGGTGTGATTAAGCTCTGTAATGGATTTTATATCACTCCCCATATCGCATGATTCATTTATTGTTCCATTTTCTGCAGGTTAAAACAGAAATCAAGGATATTGAAAAGTACCTTTGCAACAAATTCCTTAGTTAGGAAAACAACTAAAATTCCTTGCTTGGAATAAAACCAGTAAGATCAATTCACTTGCTATAATCCATGAAGTTCTACAAAACATCACATGAATATACTGTGGGGTGGAGACTTGATATGGAACAAGCCGTCCCAGGCTTGCTTCCAGGATACTTAGGCTTCTAATGACCTTTTAATTGACACTGGGCGATGCCCATCCCCTCCATGCTGGATCTGCCATCTTGAAAAACACAGCACAGATACACGACCTTTGCCAGGTAAAATCTTTCTTCAACATAGCACTTGCATCTTTCCAGCAAAGAGAACTAACACAGACTCTGAACTTGATATCAAAAAGGATTAAGAAGCACCAAGGGAGAGAAAAGAAACCTTATCTGACTTAAAATAGCCAAGGAAAGAGATATGCCCCCTCCTGGCTTCAATCGGTGGTGTCACACTAGCTGTGCTCTGTCAGTCTTCCGGATTCTTCCCATTTCCCAAAATCACAACCCTTGGTCAGGAACCAAGATCCTGACAAACTTATAAACTGAATTTTTAGCAAAGCTCCACAATACCCTTCAGGGCACCTCTTAGAAGAGAAGCAGGCTGACTTCGAGAACACCTGTCACCAACCAAATCTATCACCTCAGCGCATAGCCAACTGGCCTGGAGCAGTGAAATGACACGGCTAAGATCACCTAAAATCATGCCTCTCACCAGGGGATGGCAGATAGGACTGGGGAGCGGCTTTTCCACAGTAACCACTACCCCATAAAAGACAGAATCAGCATTCTTTTTGGACTCACATTCACCAGTTATTCTAAAATTGTCCTTTTTAGAATATTCAGTATTCAGTAGATGGGGTAAGATTCAGTAGACAAGGCCGCGTGGTGGGCGCGAGGCGGGTGAATCCATTGCAGCAGCATTCCAGGGTAAAGCTCGGCCATGCCCACAGCCGCCCCAGGGGCCCACTTGACTTTCACCAGCAAGTCCAATGCCAACAGTGGCCAGGAGGTGAGTGTTATAGGTGCTATGTGCACACAGTAAGGGGCGCACAGATCTGAGGCAATGGTGGAGTGAGCGCCCCGTTCCCCTGTGTCACAGGGCCTTGCAGGCCTGGAAGTCTAGGACTCCTGTTCTAAAGCTTCACATGCCAAGCTTCTGGTGCTTTCTAGAACTGAATTCCTAAAAGCAAAGGGTCAGGCTGGATCACCTCTTTAACTTGATTACAAAGTCCAGAATGAGGAAGAAAAAATGGAATCAAAGTAGATGGTACACATTAAATGATTCTGGTGATGGATTACAGATCAGATCCCAGTGACAATTTCTATGGATTAAAAAACTATGAATGATTTAAATGACAGGGACTTAAAACATTTTTACATTATGTAGAGCAAAGGAGAAACGAATCAATGGACTTCGCTACTAAGTTCCACACACTGGATGTAAGGACTGGATTTACAGGCAGAGGGTTGGGACACTGGTGACTGAGTAACTAGCAAAGGCTTCTTGTGCCCGTCATGTCTAGACCACGTACAGAGACACAGGTCAGGCTATGGTTGTTCAACCCGTTGCGGAAATATCTATTCCACAGGACTTTCGCCTGTCAGGCTGTGTTCTCCCCTTGTGTGTGTGGATGGCCTTGGTTAAGGAAACATTTGAGGACCTGTCACTGCTGACAGCACGGGTGTCCCTGGGGCCAGCTCCTCTACCCAGTCAAGTCCCAGTGTCACAGATTTCAGCTGTGTCTATATTCCTTCTTGACGGTAACAAGAGTTTTCTTGTTTGGGGGAGAGCATGGGGACATGTGCAGTGATGTCTTACAGAATCAGAGGATTACAACTGGGGGGGGACATCAGCAATGACCAAGGGCACACTGAAACCTCCCGAGGGCCAGCAAATATGGCATGATGTCTCTGCTGGCCCTGCTGAAGCCTTCCAAGCCCTCTGAGCTTCATTCCAGGCCCATAACTCTGGGAGTGGAGCAGTGTGACCCCAGGATAGCGGCAATGATTAGTGTGCCGGCTTTGTCCAACAGAGGCATTGGGAGACTATCTTGTGCTTCAGCCATCATTTTGCTATGCAAGAAATTAAGGTTCCCAGTTTTCAAGGAGCTGATCTAGTTTGGGGGAATAACACACTTCAAACACTAACTTCTGTGGTTAACGCATAAAATCCAAGTGGTGGGCCCAGAAAATAGTGTGTTATGAAGCTCAAAACTCAGGTGAGATCACCCTGAGCTGCGTGGTTGGAAAAGCTGGGTGAATGAGCTGGGGGGGGGAGGCAGCTCCTATTCTAACAGGCCTCCCAAGCAGGAATCACACAGTGATGCGGGTTCAGAAACTTACCTTCCAAAAGCAGGCTTGGCTGGAGAAGAGAGTCCATGGGAAGGAGCAAACTGTGGAGGTAAACCTGGGAATGTCCAGGATAGTTTTGGGTGCACCGGAAATGCCAAAGCAAAAGCACTGAATGCAATTCTTCTGGCCACGTGAGGCTTGATGATTTTTCAGCAAAGCCATAAAGACTGACCCGTGATTTCAGAGAAAGAGGGACACGAGACTGAAGTTAAGATGGAAGGAAGTTCATGCAAACCTTGTAAAGAGTAACACAGTCACAGCTAGGGAAGAGTAAACTCCTGTTTCAGTGAAAACGAATGAAACAAAGCCATTAATTAATTAGCTGGGTGCTTTTACCTTGCCCTTGATTTTAAAGAAAAAGGCAAATTCTAAGAGAACAAATTCATATTAAATCTAGTTAAATCATTGACTCTAAGAATCAGTGTGTACTGATGAAGTACACAACTCTGGAGCCCCTGAGGCCGGGTTCAGCTCCCACTGGCTCTGTGCTCTAGGCGCTGCACTTGACCTCCATGAGCTTCAGGCACCTGATAGCAAATCAGCTCCCCACGGCTGAGGATGAAATGAGCAGGCGCAGGAGGAGCACTCGCACCCACACGCGTGCTGACAAGTCCCCCATACCAGAATGGAGGCAGGGGCCCAACCTGAGAGCCTAGAGCATGTCCGGTACAAGACAGACACCAACAGCCAAGTGCTGGCTGGCTGGACGGGGGGATAATTGCATCCTGGGACAGGTAACATTCTACTTAATTCTCCAGCCTCCAAAGCAATCAGAAGTACGTTTTGGAAGAACCACTAAGGGGCACTGATCCCTTTTCAAGAAAAAAAAAAAGCTTGCTTGGATTGTTGACTAAACCGAAGCCTCCTGGAGAGGAATCAGATAGGGGTGCAATGCACTTCCGGACACAAAGTCTCTGCCGTTCAGTCTGGGCATGAGCCAGAAACAGGCTCAATTCAGATGTGGCCCCAGGTAACATTTATCATTGTAAACCAACCAGCTGGCATGAGCAATCAAATCAGAGCACTATTATCACTGAGATTAATCCCATCCTCAGCTGTATTCAGTGTTGAGGCACCTAAGGCTAAGTTGTCAAGAAAGAAGAAAGGCTCTGATAAATACCGTAACTCACATCGCATAATGGGGTTGTCAAGTGTAGTGCAAGGAACCCCAGATTTGGATTTGTGTGGGTGATGGAGACACACATATTTGCTCTGAGTTCTTGGTCAAGCACACAATCTCAGCATCTGTCTCCTTTACTCTAAAAGGGGACATGCATATGACCCACCTAAGAATGATATGAAAACTATTACGCTAGCGTTGCAGGTCTTAAATGAGTTAGGGCATAATCGCTCAACTGTTCATTTTAAAGCCAACTGCACCTAAAATAGTTCTGAATGTCAGAAAGTTTCTGAAACACATCTTTGTTCACTAAAAGGGCAAATTAGTGGTCCCTTCATATTTAATGCCAGTAGTATTAAAGGTGTATATTTAACTATCAGCACTCTTTCAAGTCATCATGGCTTAAACCTTATTTATTTGCATGTACCATGAGCTCACTGAGGTTAGCACCTTATTACCTCAAGAAGCCAACTCAGAATCATATTTGAGGGCAGGACTCAGGAAGGTAAAATCCCCTGCTCAAAGTTATGCGATAGAGAGCGGATCAGAATCTCACAGGACCTCCTGGGACCCGGGCTTACACACAGTGGGTGCACAGGTAACTTGCGCTAACACCCTCCAAGTTTTCAGATGGCTGCCTGATGCGCAGTCCACGACAGATGAAACCTCTTGGGACTGAGGGGCAGGTGAGGATACTCAGAGCGTGGGGCGACCGCCAAGGGCCCGCGGCCAGGGGTCGGGCCCTTACCCGGACGTGCGGCCCCTCCACCAGCTTGAGGGCCTGCGCCTCGAGCAGGTCGGCGCGCAGCCCCACCAGGAAGCGCACGCCGCCGTCCAGCTTGCTGATGTGGTGGAAGAGGCCGCGGTAGCGCGGCACCAGCGCGTAGCGCAGCCGGTCCTCGGCCTGCAGCAGCACGGCCGTCTCCCGCGGCTGCTGGCGCAGCTGCAGCACGCCGGCGCTCTGCTCGGCCACCTGGCCGTGGTCCACGCCGAAGCCCCGCGCCAGGCGGCTCAGCAGCTCGGCGCGCTCGGCCCCCGCGGCCAGGCCGCCGTAGAAGCTCACGAAGTCGGCGCACTGGCCCTCGGCCGGCGCCGGCGTCTTCTCGCGCAGCTCGTAGGCCGGCGTCGCGGGCACGGAGCGGCGCAGCATCTCGTCCATGGCCCGCTCCAGGGCGCCCGCCACCGGCCCGCTCGCCAGCCGGGGTCCGGGCGGCCGCAGCACCGGGAGGACGCGGCGCGCGGTCAGGCCTGGCCTGAGGCCTCGCATGGCGACGGGCGACAGCTGCCGGGACTGCAACCGCCGCGACTCCGGCTTCCGGCTTCCGGAGCTCGCCAGGCCCATTGGCCGCGGCCGGGCGACGGGCGGGACGGCGGCCAATCGGAGGGCGGACTGGGCCGGGGCGGGGCGGGGCGCGGCCGGAGGCCAAGTGCGGCAAAGGTCCCCGCGGGTCGGAGCGGCAGTGTGTGTGTGGGGAGGGGCGGGGGGAGGGGCGGGGGGCGGGGCGCCCTGCCCGTCACCTGGCCAGTGCGTCACCGTCTCAGTCCCTCCCCTTTCCCCCAGCTCGTACCCGCCTGCCTTCTCCAGCCTAGCTCTCCTACCTGCAGGTGCAGCAGTCACCTGGGGAACTTGTTACGCGTGCAGATTCCTGGGCCCTGCTCGCGGAGACTGGCAGCGTGTGTCTGGGGAGGAGCCGAAGAATCCGCCTACGAAGTGTTAATGGTGGTAATTCTCTGGCAAGATAATTCGAGACTCGTGCCTGGGCGCTCTGGAATCTCATTTTGCAGATGCTTCCCTGAGCTGCCGCCCTGCTTTCTCGTGCTCTCCAGACGCAGTTTTGCAGCTGCCTGCTGGAGAGTTTTGCGTGGACGCGACAAGCGGGCTCTCCTAAGCATCTTGTTCCTTCTTTCCAAGTCCTCATCCATTCATTCAGACACCAGGGTGTTTATTACCTGCCAGTTATGTGCCAGGTCCTGTACTAGGCACAGGGTAAAATAATGAACCAGACAGACCTGGTTGTGCACCCATGGAGTAAGAAAGGAGACAGGATAACATAGCTACAAACTGAGAAGTGCCATAAAGGAAATAAACAGGGTGGAGTCTCTGGTATCTCAGGGCAGGGGTGGAATTTTATAACTCTGGGGTGGTGGTGGTGGTGATGGTGGAATACGTTCCTAGCCCTGGGCAAATAACCTTTGAAATCGAAGTAAGTCAAAGGCAGAAATAAAGTTGGAGAAACCCATTTATTGCTTACATGCAGTTGTCCACTTCTGCTCACCTGTGTCTCTCCCCACCCGGCTGCAAAAAGGGACCCACCCAACCTCTCAGGTCCAGATAGACCCTCGCTCCCCCAACACTTGTAATCACCTATTGATATGGAGATGGCTACTTCTGTCCACCCCTTGGAAACACCTATTGATATAGAGATGCACTAAGGCCGGGCGAGAGATTCTGGAAATACTGTAATTTTACCCACAACTTTCCACTGTAAACAGGGTGAACAGGGCAGGTCTCTGAGGAGATGACATTTAAGCTGAGACCAAAAGCTAGTTGTGGATTGAGGAGGACGAGGGGAAAGCTGACCTACCCATTCTCCCAAGTCCAAAAGCACAGTTTTTATAATTTGTGCCCTGCCCTTCACCCCAACATCTAAATTTTATTGATTTCTACTTTAAAAGGTCTCTTGCATTCATCCCTTCTCCTCTCCCACTGCTGTAGCCCACATCACTCTCCTTCCAAAAATGAGGTTTCTGCCACTATTAGTGAGAAACTGGAGGGAGTTTGCATGACCTGATGCCAAATTTACTGGAGTCTGAAGGAAAACCCAGTCAGGAGCCCACTGTGCTCTTTGAGAAAGAGAAGTCCCATCTAGGTACACAGGATGGAGGACAGCATCAGAGAGCCTGCTGAGAACAGAAACGGGGCAGAGATACAGGGACTTGCACAAAGCCTCAGATCAGCAAATGGCTGCAGTGGTTCCTAGATGTCTTCAAGACCTGAGTGTGTAAGGAGTTTGGACCCAGGCTGGTCTCACTCCCAAGCCTGTGTTCTTGCCACTCTGGGATCCTGTCTTTGCTAAAAATGAGATTTCTGCGTTATTTAGAATTTGTGTTTGTGCTGAAATGTTGAGGAAAGTAGAGAAGAGGTAGGAATCTAATAAATGCCCAATCCCAACCACATGGCATATGGTGTCCTATATTAAATCCTAATGTCAACTTGGCCAGGTACAGATGAGACTGAGGCTTGACGAGGTCACATGACTTACCAAGGTCATCCTGCTAGAGAGAGGCAAAGCCAGCTTTGACCTTGGTCTAGCAACTGCAAAGCTTTTTTTTCTACACGTCTGGGTCAGGTTTCTAGAAAAGTTTTCCTTCCTCAGAGGCCATGGAGGGATCACCCATTTGGTCCCCCAGTTCAGTCCCAGTGATGATGGGAGCCTATAGGTAATGTGGTAGGCAATATTTTATTATGGGGTGACAGTCTCAAAGGGGGACCAGCCCTAAGAGATACTAAAATTTATGAAGCTCCAGTAATTCAAACAGAAAGAAAGACAAATATCTATGAAACCTAACAGAAAGTCCAGAGAGAGACCCAGAGGTGCCTGTGTATTTAGTATGTGATAATGGTAGCATTCCTCATCACGGGGAGATGAAGGTTAACTGAGGGGTTCACCAGAAAAAGATATTGGGTCCTAATCTCAGACTGCACAAAACAAATTCCACTGGATTAAGTATATAAGTTTACAAAGTGAAACAGAAGTATCAAAACAAAATTATCTCAGAGTGAGAAAGGCCTTTTGAAGTATGACACAAAGAGGATCCATAGAAAGAAGATTGGCAAATTTAAATACATAAAAAAATCTTAAAAAGTTCCTTATGCCTGAAAACAAAATGAAAAGACAAATACTACTTTGGAGAAATATTTGCAAGTCATATCACATACAAATGGCTAATTTTCCTAACATTCTTTATAGAGAACTACCAAGCAATACAGGAAAAGACTGTCAAACCAACAGAAAAATGGAGAAAGGATATGGCCAGAGAGAGTTCATAGAAAAGGAAACAGCTCTTGAAAATATGACAAGTGCTCAACTTCACTCATAATAAGAAAATGCAAATTAAAAACTCCAATGAGCTACCAGTTTTCACTTATTGGATTGTAATGATCAACAAGTTGAGTAAGACCCTGTGCTTGTAGGCTGGGCCCGTGAGGGAGCAAGCACACCCTCTCACATCACTGATAGGGGTAAGGCACAACCCAAGTGGGAGCTGCTTTTGCAATTTCTATCAACATTACAACCTGGCCCTGCAAGTTTTACAAATACATGTGCCATCCGCTGAATGGTTCATGACAGATGGGTCAGAACTAGGGCACTCAAACAGCAGGACTAGAAGACAGTGTGGAGACCAGGACAACAGGGGGGGCCCTACAAGGAGATGCGGGGGAGCGGGAGGAGCCGGCCCTGGCCATGACCTGACTCAGGTCCAGAGATCATTCTCCAGAAGTTTTTGGCCAAAAAGAAACAGAAAAATGGAGACACAGGGGGCAGGCAAGCATTGCATGTGGGGGTTGCTTTTGGGGGCAGCTATACCTGCAGAGGGAAGCAGGGGAGGCAGGATCGTGTACTAATAAAATCCATTGGCTCCAAAGTCAGCAGAAGACCCCGTGTATGCATCCTGGACGTGCCCCTCACCGGTTCAGTGACTGTGAGTAGTTTCATCACCTTTTAAAGGCTGTTTTGACATCCGTGAGATGTAAATATAGAGCTTCCTCACAGGGTTGGGAGGATTAAATGAAACAATTCAAGCCCAACACATGGCAAGTAGTAAGGACTCATAACATTTTAGCTGAATTCTTGTCTCTAAGTGTCATAAGACTGAAAGATTTAGGGGTGGGTGTATGTTTGCATGTGTCCAAAATGAAGCCACATGTGGACACAGGGCAGGGTTATTTCTCCATCGCTCAGGACACTATAATTCCTCTGCAGCTTCTTCCTGGAATTAGGCGAGGGAAGGGGCAGCTGTGCGTGAGAAAAGAGGTGGAGGGGGTCAGGGTGGAGAGAGAGGGACCGACGAGACAGAGACTGACAGAGACAGACAGGAAGGCCGTGTCCTTGGGCGTTGCCAGGATGACAAAAAGACATTTTTCTTTTGAAATAATTTTCAAGTGGTTAGCAAGTAATTATCAAGTGGATTTCTTTCCTCCTCTAAGCAATTAGGCCCTGATTGCCCCTCCGTCTCCTGCTCCTTCTCTCCCTTTCCCCAATCCACTACCTTTATGGAAGAGACTATCACCGACCAGCCAGGGCTCCTACGCAGCAAAACTGCAGGAGGCATGAGGGGTAGGCTGGGCCTTGCTCCCCCGGGGGAAATACATGGTCTGGGGCCCAAGGGAGAGGAGCCAAAGCCCACATGCTCTGTCTGCCCCAGGACACCCCCACCTTGCTTTAGCAACCTGTTCTCGAAATCTGGTTTACTTAAGCATTTGTTTAAAGTACAGTTTTCCATCTGTCTCTGTCCCAACTCCTTCCTCTCCCACCTAATTTCTTGTTTCTGCTTTTCTCTGTGTTCATACTCTTTCTTTCTCTAAGTGTCAGTGGCCATTCTCTGCTTCTCCCTGGGTATGCCCTTGGTTCAAAAGACTGCCCTAATTAGAAAATGAAGTTAAGGTAACAGTTCCACTTACAATAGTATCAAAAAGGAAAAAATACCTAGGAATAAATTTAACCAAGGAAGTTTAAGACCCGTACACTGAAAACTACAGAGCGTTGTTGAAAGAAATTAAAGAATACCTAAATAAATGGAATGCCATTCCATGTTTATGGATTGGAGGACTTAATATTGTTAAGACGGCAACATGCCCCAAATTAAGCTACAGATACAGTGCAATCCCTATTGACACCCCCATTTTCAGGAATGGAAAAGCTGAATCTAAAATTCATATGGAACTGCAAGGAGCCCTGATAGCTAAAAACAATCTTTAGAAAGAAGAACAAACTTGGAGGACTCATATGTCCTGATTTTAAAATATACTGCAAAGCTACAGTCATCAAAAGAGTATGTAATGGCAAAAAGATGGACACACAGATCATTGGAATAAAATCAATGGAACAGAAATAAACCCATATATTTACAGTCAATTGATTTTTAACAAGGATTCTAAGACCATTCTCTGAGGAAAGAATAGACTTTTCAGCAAATGGTGCTGGAACAAATGCATATCCACCTGAAAAATAGAAAAAAAATTTTAAATCTCTACCTCACATCACATACAAAAATTAACTCAAAATGGGTCAAAGACCTAAGTGTAAGTGCTAAT